TCAAACATGTGAAAAATAAAATTGAGTAGTATGAAAAAGCTGCTGCGAGAAAGAAATCACTGCAGAAAAGGCACTGCTTAATCTCCCCTTAGAAGTGATCCCTGACTGGATGCTTGCAAAGTAAGGCTATCTAAGCATACACAGCTAATTAACAAGGAGAAATTGCTCTATATTATTAGCTGCACAGATTAATTTTACTGCTATCTTGATCTCAGGCCCTTTCACAGATGTGCCAGCTTTTTTCCATTTGGTGGACACAGCCATTTTCCCAGACTGTAAGGTCTTTTCAGGGTGATTTGTTTGTACTGTGCCTAACACAAAGGCACCATTATGCCAGACTGAAACCGCAGGTGCTTATGCAACAAACACTGACAATGTAACTCTTCAGGTGGGCAAAAGGTCTTGCAGCAAATTGTGACAATGCAAGTTATTAACTTATCTCAAAATTGTGAAAGAGTTTTAGAAGTGTTTGTTTCCATGGAAAGCAGAATAAAGTATATATACTTTACTTAATTCTTCTGGCTGTTGGTTTTATGAGCTGAAAGATCAATGGAGTACAAGGAAAAGATCAACAAGGAAACATTTTATTTATTTTGATTTCTTTTTTTCCTTTCTCTCCATTATCACTATCATTCAACGCCTATTTCTTTTACTGTCTTTTTATCTTTTCTTTCTTATGTACTTGCAAAGTTCCTTTTTCTCCAGAGAGACAATGCTAAAAGGAGAATTTCTAGTTGAGTGTTAGCTAGGAACAATCTGAAGGGAGAAAAGACTGGCTCTGAGCTCTCACTTCTGAACCTGTAATATTGACTTTCCTAGAAAGAATCCAGTGTAGGAAAGACTGCATATAAACAAACATCATTCTTTCTGCTTCCAGTGCTACATATTCACTTACTGTATTCATACATTTAAAAACACCCAGAGATACTCAGTATGAGAATGCAGGTTTATATTCAACTCCCAAATTCCTAAATTGCTACAGTTTATACTATTATAAGTAGTGATAGAGGCAAAGTTAATCAAACTTTGGAAGAGCTAAACTGCTCTTCCAAGGAGGACTTCAGGCATTTTCATACCATAAAAGAAGTGTTCTAATATAATTCCAGTAAGCAAAAGTAAAACATAATGAAAATCCAGTCTCTCATAGTGAACCTGCCAAGGCTTACCTCTTGTAAGTAAGAAATAACAGGAATAAAAACGAAGTTCAAAATCCCTATGGTGAGAAGTATCTGATATTAAATTTCTGTTTCACTCTTGCTTTGGTGGACCTGTGGGGATTTTTAATATCATCCAAAAGGTAAAGTATATATCCTAGCTTTTTTTTTTTTTTTTTTTTTTTTGCTTTTTTTTTTTTTTAATTTTTTTTTATTTAATGCATTTCACATGTGCTTGAAATAGACAGAAAAATAGAATTCATTAACAGTTTCTGGAAGAGAGCATCCCCTTTTAGAGACCAAGCCCTCAAAATGTATCTAAAGTAAACCTGACCACTTTCAGCACAAATTGGTGCTAAAGATGAATTTGATCTAATTACTGCTCATAATCACTTAAAAAAGGAAAAAAAAAAAAAACAAAAAAAAAAAAGAGGAAGAGGAAGAGGAAAAAAGACCTTTTCATATCTTAAAAGGAACAAGTATCTAACATACTTCCTTAATCCCTCAAAATCTAGGATTTTTGTTTTTATACCTTAATATTTTGTCTTAAGTATAGTTAGGAAAACTATAATGTACAAACTGAACTCCCAGGCTGCACTATCACTCTAAAAAGACTGCTATTGTTGCTACCATATAATCTGTTTTGGGTAGAGATCTGTGTAGCAGAGGCTAGTAACTATTTCCCTCATACACCACTTTTCCATACACTGCACATTTTTATAAAGCTTCCTCTTCCATCTTTAGAGAAATAATGCTGCTGTAATTAAACACTTCGGTACAGATACCTCAAAACCCCAAAGGATGAGCCAAGAGAGCCATGTAAATTCAGGCTCAGGAAAGCTACACTTAATCCAACTTTTAGATCTTCATACACAAACTATAATGATAAATAAAGGGTGACTACACAGATTATTAAGGACTTTTAGATATAAAAGGACATCAAGAATATAAAGCAAAACAGTGGCTGGTCTTGCTGATGACGGTGTGGACATCTGCAACAGGTCAAACTATCATTCAAACCTGGCACAATCAGCAGGGAACTATGAAGAGGAGAATGGAGTCTGGTTTCCTTTAGCTCAGCAAACATTTAGGGAATGAACAGTACAAGAGCAAGAGCACACAGCCGAAAAGGAAGGTGTCTGACTATAGTGAGCCAGGGTTTCTAGCTGTCTGGAATAGAAAACCGTGTGCGTGTGTGTGTTGACATCCATCAGTTAGGTTATACACACAGAAAGTCTTAAAGGCCATATGGGCAGAAACACTTCTGTATCTGTATTATATGTCAGAGAAATGAAAAAGAGGCACTCCTGGATTTCTCCCTCTCCCCTCAATCCATGATACTGATCATTAGGAAACAGACGACAACCATTCATCTAAGACACTGCAGAAATACTAGTATGTGAGAGGCAGGTGCAGCTGAAGTCTCTCAGACTCTTCCCAATCTCTCTCCTCACCTAAGGTTAGGAAAATAATTGCTCAGTTCCTATCACTATGCTTTCAGCACAGTGAGATTTCGCAGAAATTATGTTAGCAGAAATTTCCCAGGGGCAATATTCTGCATCAGTAATAGGATAATCTCACTGTAAATCAAAGGTGTTTTATTTTTATCAACTAGACAGCAACATTTGTCAGTCTAGTAAACTAGCAGTCACAAATCAGTAGTGAACCTCAAGTTTCCAAACGATAGAAGCAAGTTCTTTCATCCTGAAACATACTAATCATATACATACTAATACTAATCCTGAAACATACTAAGTACTAATCCAGTCAGTCTGGAACGCTCTTCTAAGGAACTGTTCTAGATGATCTGACTCCTGGATAGTCAGTATAACGGACTCTGCCAGCATGACAGTCCCTTACTTCACATAATGCCATGGACTTACTCCCAGTTGTTGATCCTAAAAGGAATTCTGAAAACTTGAGAGATGGGAAGCATCATGTTTTCCCTACCGCATGAACCTCATATGCACTCACAAGAGAAGTATATGTAATATTTATGCTTGATGTTGTCCGATTAGGTGCCAGGCCTCTTTGCCTTTGGCTTCTTGCCAGTACAGTCAGTGCAAGGCTGCTAAAAAAGAAGAAACTTCACCTGTGCTGACATCAAGGTTGCAGGTACATCATGGGACTGTGTCTGACAGATTCTCAACTGAAAAACCAAAGGAGTAGCCCATGGTCACAGGTGCACTACTACAGATGACTTCCACTGTCCCACTTCTAAGAACTTCTTTTCAAGAAATAAACACTATTTTCATGGATAGCTCCAAAGAAGCAGCAGAGAAGGAGGACAGGCAACAAAACACTTTAGAGACATATCTCTTCTTAAGGGGGAAGTGTATACACTGCACCTTGTAACTTAAGGATCTCAGACCATAGTTTTTTTTAACATCTTTTATTGATTCCAAGCGGTGATTACCCTATCCACACATTCTGTCACTCATTTTTGAGAGCTAAGGCTTACGTATTGACAAAACATGAATGGGATCCAGGAACTTCTTAAAGCTAGCTATAGCTCGGCTTCACTAATGTAATATGCTGTCATATAATGCCTTACATGTATTTATAGAAGCAGTAGAATATATGCTACCCTCTAGTTACTTTGGTGCCCAGTGCTCATAAAGCCTCTTGAACAGTACACAAATTCTTCATATTTATGTCTCAACTACTTTTTGCTATGAGCCATCCACGTATTTCACCCTTCCCATGTATGTAGTTTTCAGTCTTTTCTGTATTCTTGACAACGGCCAGAAAAAGGAGAGTCACTGAACATACACTACTGACCATACTAAATCAGGAATCAGTTGTTCAGCTGTAAGTGTAACGTGACAGCCTCTTTCTAAAATAGCAGGAAGATTTTCTTTCATGCACATTTCTGGGTTCTTTTTTTGGTCCACAGCATATTTCAAGAAAAGCCTGCCTGAGGAAACAAACCAAAACCAAAAAGAGAAACTGCCACAGAAACTTATCTGAAAGCATTAAAAATTAAATAGCTTTTTAAAGAGCCCTCAGTCTTTATAGTAAAACCTATTAACGTTGTCTAGACTGATCTAATTTATAACAATTCCATTTCAGACAACTCTGTTTGGTTGTTGGTTAGGAGCCCGAAGCAGAAGTGACATTTTCCCCTATTACTCCTAATCATACTCTTTCACTTTTCCCTTCCACCTCAAACACTTGATGGTGGGGAGAAGCCCACTGCTATTTGAAGAGGTGGTCACAAAAGCCTGATGAATTCAGACTGCAGGAGAGCAATACTTCAAAGCTAACAAAGCCTCATACAAACATTCTTTTCAGCAGACACTCTTCTGGCAACAGAAACTGCAGCCTCTAAGCACAAGAGCCTCAACCATTATTATCACACTGTTCGTTCCCTCACTCCCTCAGATAAATACTCGCATGTTAAGATCCCCAGTGGAATATGTGTCATTTTAGAGTCACAGTTGATTCCCAAAAATTATCAACACAATAAGCATAATTGCTTATAGGAAGATATACCTTTGTCACTTCACATTCCCCACATAATTCCATACATTTCTTCAGCAGTTTTACATTGCATGCAGTAAGGACATACTGCAGCAGCTCTTGACTTAAGGCAGAAATGTATGAGCCTGGAAATCTACTTATATATTATGGAACATATATGAGTAACTTCAGTCTAATAAGTTGAGGTTTTAAGTTTCATATGTCTAATTTAAGTAAAGCCAATTAGATACACATCTGAAAGTGAAAGACAACATTTAAACACTTGCACTTTTGAATACTTCGTCAACAGTAAGAGCTCACTTACTACAAGATTTTTTCCCCCAAGAAGTCAATGACAAACAAATATATTTAGCAGTAACATACCTTGAAGTTGCAATTTCCACTTTCGTTCTTGCCATGGCAGCCGCTCGCTGTGCACCCTCTATTGCTCTATCCACTTTTTCTCTAGTTTTTGTGTTGCGTATTGGTATAAGTTGCTTTCTTATTCCACGAACCAAAACATTATTTTTATATTTTCCTTCTTCTTTGGTGCCATCTGGAAACATGGTACATCCATATCCGTGCCTCCTGTTATTTAACCATTCTCCTTCATATTTCATGCCATTTGAACGCTCACTAACACCAAAACCACTGCGCTTGTCATTCTTCCATTCACCCATATAGCTTTCTGTTGTGGTGGCATCAACGTGGTCTTCCATAGGACAATAATCACAGTCACCATCTCCAAAACTAATTGTAGAGTTGGCATCACTGGAACTAATTCTGCTCATAGCAGCATCACTCCTGACGGAGCTCCGTTTGCTAGATATTGAGGATCTAGATTCAGATTTTCTAAGTTTTATACTACCAAGAAGGGATCCTCTTCTGAATAAGCCTCCTTTTTTCTTAATTCCCATGGCTTCTGCTTCACTGTGAAAATTGAGCACAAAACCTCCTCTTGTTCCAGCCGGACTGTCTGCAGTGATGTCATGCAGAACGGTGCCATTGCTCTGTTCACTTCGAAGTGAAGCTAGAGATGTTCGTAGAGGTGAACGGATCACAGTTGCCATGCCATAGGGTACACTCTGACGTACACCATATCCATGTCGCATTCCTCCTGTCCATTGTCCCTGGTATGTACCTTTTAAAGTAATTAGCAGAAATTAAATTTAGAAAGTTGTAGAAGACCTACTAGTCTACATTCAATATGCTATTGGCAACACTGTGCTGATAAGTCTGCTTTAGGAAACTAGAAACAGAAGAAAAAAAGTACAGCACATGAGACTACATAAATTACATACTTTTTGTTACTTGTTTTTTCATAAATCATTTTTTTTCCTTAACAAAGCCCTTGCTTTCCAAGCAGCAGCAACTTATTTTGACAACTAAAACACAGTAGCTATCATCATAAGTGTTTTTTGAGCAGTTCTACCCATGGAAGAAATTTCAAAAGAAATCTGAAAGGCAGAACTCCCTCAATGTTTTTTAAAGGGAACAACAAGGAAGAGAGAGAAGGGTGGAGGGAAAGAAAGCAGGGAGGAAGTGGAGCACTTGGGCTCTTGCCTCCAGCTGCTCACAAGGAGAGCTAATGGGATGAGTAAACATCCTGTTTTTTAAAGACAACTGCAGACCTCTCCCTGTCATGACATACTCAACAACCTACTAAGACGAAACTGTCTTGATCCCATGGCCCACCTGAAGACTGCTGTTATGAAGCCCTATCATACAATCAAATGTTTTAAAAAGATTTTGAATGTACTTGAATGGAAGAAAATGATAAAACACTACAAACAAAACCTCTGTATATATTGCTTTTATGAACATTTTTTTGTTTACTCAATATCATAAACAAAGTACACTAGCTACCTAAAATATTGGCAGTATAAAGCGAGCTACACTTCACTCTAGCTACCCTTTCTGAAGAAGGAGTCACAGGAAAGCAGCAGACTACCTTCACTGCCATCTCATCTGTTGAGTAATTCCCAAAAGAGTAGGTCCTTTGCTTGAGAAGTAGCTGAACTTGGGTTTAAAGATAAAAACAATATTCCAGCTATTTGACAGTCATCAAAAATATGAAAGGCTTCTGTGACATAAAAATACAGTCAGATTATTTTTCTATTTACATTCTGCAGTGTGTTGTGACAGAAATCAGAAATGTGAAGGCTTTTCTGCTTTTTTTGCCTTCCATTTTTGCTGCAGTACATACAGAAGACAAGACAGTAATAAACAGAGTATGACACACCACCCTACCTATAACTACATTCCATTGTTTATACTGTGACCATAATTATTTTTGAGTGTTTTTTCAAAAAGCAGTACAAAGAAGAGCAACACGGTATTTGATATGAGAAGACATGCTTATCTGTGTACATGCAAAGCTGCATCTGAGCCAAGAAACAGCATTATCACCAGATTACTGTTTCAGACTATTTTATTTCTTGTATTGTCAAAAAGCATTTTCATTTTGATAAGACACATACTACCATGTCTAGGCTCTGAAAGCCAAAGGAAGGTGTGAGGTGCCCCACTCCTGGCAAACAGAAGATAACTTGCTTTCTAAGATCATTTCACTGTAATCCCTATGAAACTTCTTTAAGAGACACACAAAAAAAAGAGGTTTCTCATCCACCTACTACTATTTCTTTTAAAAGCTATTTTGACTCTGAATATTCATACAGAAGTATGAATAAGCTCTCCCTAAAATATCTTTGAGCTTATTCTGCTTCAACTGAGTACATATTAAAAATGATTCTTCAGAGAACTAAAGATCAAATGTCAGATTCCATGACTGAATAAAGTTTTGTAAACGTATTTGTGAAATACCCAGAGTTTCAGATGCAGCCCAAAGATTCAGTTGCTTTGATATTCAATCTCCTTTGTATAAGCATGGTATTTTGCTGTGCTGGTGTCAATTATCTATCGATTACTGTTTTACTGTATTACCTCTTCAGCTAAGCTGCATTTCAATGTTAACATGCAATCACGTTTGTGAGATTTCTTTCTTATATAATACTAAATAGGTTTGACAACATAACTATTTTGTGTTGGTAGAAAAATTCTACTAAGTGGAAGGTTTTTGTTTTAACAGATGGCTGCTGACATAAACCAACAACCTTCTTCATTTCTTTCTCATTCTCTGTATCCTGGATACCTACTGCTGTATTGCTTGTAAGGGTGCTGAATCTAGAAACACGATTATTTTAAAAAACTCAGCATATGGAAAAGAACAAACAGAGACATGAGCGCAAAACAGCAATCTGACATATCCTGAAAATACTGCAAAAAAAATGGTCATATGGTAGTTTTTTTCTTAATTACACAGACATTTCACAGAGATATATTAATATTTTATGGGCATAAATGACTACATTTTGTCCTCAATTATAACTGGAAAAGCCCTAGAATCGTAGTGACATGCTGAAGAATCTGGCAAGGTACACTGCACTGCTACATGCAACAATCTGATATTCTGCATCAGTTCGTTAATTTCATTTGAAAATAATAAATCCAATTCTAATTGTGATTATATCCCAGAATTACATTACAGCAGTATAACTGTGGCTCTCCACGTTGCTATTTGAATGTCTGACTCAAAGCAGAAACAATCCCTTCCAGTACAGAATTTTATAAAAGTACAAATGGCCTGCCTTTGCCATTTTTTCTTACTAATATTTTGACCTAAAAAAAAAAAAAAAAAAAAAAAAAAAGCTCAAAAATAGTTAATCAAATTATGATTCACATTTTTCCCTGCTCTATAGACAGAAGTGGTTACTGTTGCCCAAAAGGGTATTAAAATGAGGACAATTGATGTGCTGCTGTTTATTTGTCAGATTTTTCTTTCTACTAGGCCAATAAAATCAATGCCAGTTTCTTCTAAAGAGAAAAGAGCAAATGAGGCAATGAAAGATTCATAGTGAACTGGCTCTTGGAAGAGATTTAGTTGGAATTTTATGCAGTCTTGCAGGCAACAAGGATATTTTCTAATATTAGAAATTTGTAAGAGAAAAGGTTCAATACTAGTGCTAGAAAGCTGATGTTTTCCTTGATTTTTTAACTTAAGTGTTAAAGGAAAGATATTTTAATGGCACGTGGAGGGCAGTTTACAGAATACAGATGCAACAGACCTGTAGAATCATAGAATGGCCTGGGTTGAAAAGCACCACAGTGATCACCTAGTTTCAAGCCCCCTGCTATGTGCATGTGACCCAGAGCCACATCCAGCCTGGCCTTGAATGCCTCCAGGGATGGGGCATCCACAACCTCCTTGGGCAACCTGTTCCAGTGCGTCACCACCCTCTGTGTGAAAAATTTCCTAGAATGGAGACTTAAGTACCGTGATTTATCATATCAGACCATAACTGCCTCATCTCCTTCATCAGAAGAAATTATAGGCATCTTTAAACAATCAAGGTATCTGGTACGTTAATACTGTAATATAATAAAATGCTACAGCATACAGTACAAGATGATAAAACAGCTCTTCTTATGAATAAAGATAGAAACATGGTATCTACTTAGCTCTATACACAGATACAAATATGAATGACAATATCAACACATCATTTCTCCTTTTATCATATATTATAATGCACTGTCTATAGCAGTTTCACTGAGGGTCAACTTTTTAATTACCACTGTGATTATGGAGCTAATTTAAAACTGTTTTTTACAATAAAACGATAACTTTACCTCCTAAAAGCCAGACTTGTTGTAATAAAAAAACCCAACCATTCAGCAACAGCTTCTACTGACCGTGGTGCCCCTGAGCAGATGTTCATATTTTCAGCCTGAGAACTAACAGAAAGTGTACTTTCAAATTTTGTTTTTGCTTGGCAAACTGCTGTAAGGTAGAATGTCATAACCTGTCTCCTCAGAGCTACATCGTGCTACACTTCTCCAGACTCCCAACTGTATCTTAGAGCTGTAAATGTCATTGCCTACTTGTGGCTCAAATGTAAAACTGTGCTGTAAAAAAGCATGGAGGCCACCGCACTAGGAACTGCTTCTCCTGCTCATAACCTTTACATTCATCTTCTGTGGTTTAATAATTTAGGTGCCACCTCAATGTTCTTACACGCTCTCTGGACTCAAACGTTAGATAAACAAACACCTAGAAAGCCTACTGCTTAGAAATCAATGAACGCGTGCACCGCTGATGGCCTTGTCTTCACATGCATTTGCCACTGATGTCCACAGATGAACAACACATGTTCTTACAGCAGTACTCCCGTTACTGCTACTGCTGGCAGGATCATAAGGTGCTAACTAACTTACACATACTGAAGCAGCAAATGAGGCTGCAATCCCTCAGTAAACAATCTGCAGGTAGGCAGGTGGATTCACACGTATCCAAGGAAATCAAGGCAGCCTAGAGGAGGCACAGAACTCCAGATCATTGTAGGGTACAACCTGAAAGGTCACTTGAAAGCCAAGCATAGGCACATACAATGAACAGAGGACCATGATCTACGTATAATTCACTGTGTTTTTCTCAAAGACTCATTGAAGTGACAGCTTCACTGCATTCAGACAAGGCACAACCTATACTACTGACAACGTGCAAAGCAGTGTGTGCAGAAACACTGAGGACTTCCACTGGTGTTTATGTTCCTTTTCTCTTCCTCAACTTCAATTACTAATATCATCAAAGCAATCAGAAATATCGTATTACCAAAACAACAACAGCAAAAGAAAACCCACAACAGTAAAAAGGCCTGTATTTTAGTGATTTTTAAAGCAAAATGGCAATTTGCATAGTAAAACCCACTATTTTCCAGTATTCTCAGGTCAGAATTAAGAAACAGCTTTCCTGTGATTATTTCACAGTGCATTAAAGACACACATGTAAATCCAGCAGCCTTGTAAAAGCATTTCAGACATTCTTCTAGTGTGCAACTACAACCACTGTACCCAGAGCATGAACACAAAGATCCATCTGCAATCATCTGACATATCGCCTGGCTTCATTCACAAATGCTTCCATTAAAATCAATGGGATTCACATCTTCTGTCCACATGAATTGAAATGTCTAAAAGACTGGGACCTTACTAGCAGATTTTAGTTAATAAAAATAAATGATTTACAAAGGAAGCTGTACATTCCAAGTGCTGTTTCAGACAAAGGGTTTCCTGTTAGTTTAAAGCCTAAAAATTTACAGAATTTACCACTGAATTATCAGTATTCTACTGAAATAAAAAGTATCCACAAGAAGTCTAAAGATGGAGATACAAGGAACTTTGGTTTGTGAAACACAGTAGCAATTTACTTTTCTGGACAAGAAAAACAAAAAACAACGACCAAACAAAACTATGGCCACTAAGAATTCAGCTTCTGAGTTACGAGACTAATTAAATCTGAACAAAATTCAAAATGTACTGTGTGATGAAAGTGAAACTGAAAATTTATCTATGTGGTTTGGTTAGGCTTTTAAATCCTCAAGACAATAGCCACGCTGAGAGTGATCATCAGAGCTTTCCACATCAGAAAACTTTTCCACGTAGTTATAAAAATGCACAATCAAAGGGATTAGAAGAGTTCAGGGTACAGAAAACATAGCACTGCATTTTCTCATGGAAATGAATCTCGCCCAATTCACTACACTCTGTACTTCAGAAAGAGCAGAAGGGGAAAGTATTCCATCTGTAAATACCTCTTCCACATAATACAAAATCACCCATTCTGTGATGCTATTTCTACAGTTCTATCACAAATGTCTTAACAGAACTCCCTAAAGAAACCAGCAGCAGCATCATTCAACAGATCTGATACACAGGCTGGTCCTTTAATCCCATCATTACAAAGTTACAAGTTACCACTAATTTTGTTAAGTTCTATTTCTTGCACGTTATACATGCAGCTCGCGCAGCATTGCAGCAAGCAGCGCTTCCTTAAAAATAGCACACCGCTAATTCTAAAACTGAGATCAGCTCTTTCATTTACAATGGGACAAATCAATCACAAAATGGCACTGGTTGGAAGGGACCTTAAAGATCACTCAGTTCCAACCCCCATGCCATGGGCAAGGATGCCACCACTAGATCAAGCTCAAAAGCAACTCCACACAGGTGAGGTGGCACTTCCACCGATGTCAATAACATTACAGCAGCAGAAAGCTAATTTAAAAACACTGGGATTACTTCTCCACACAACATGTGAAATGATGCAGGCATGGTAGGATGAGGTGGAACTAACCCATCAAGTTAGCTGAGTCCCAAGTGACCCCACTAAGCCTGAGCTCGAAAAGCACTGCTAAAATGGGTGTGGGGTGTCCGGCGCTACTGCATGCATCTGTCTTCCTACGGTGAGCGAGGGGGTGATTTATGGACTGGTTTCATCCATCACCCGTCCAGCTTCCGTGTGTTTGAAACTGCAACTGCATTTGAATGCAGTGCAAGTCATTGCATGGAGGTGCAGCTAAGTTTCACTCGTGTCATGCACGTTCAGTACCCACTTCACTGCAGTTGAGTTTATGAATGTAAACCAGCATATGTTATCAGTGAAGCGAGGGAGCACAGCAACATGCAATGAAGATCTTTCTTAAGTTTACAGTATTTTACTACGGAAACAGTGGTGAGAGAGTCACAGAATCACAGCACATCCCAACTTGGAAGGGTCCCACACGGATCACTGAGTCCAACTCCCGTCTCCTCACAGCACAAACAATTCAAGCCTCACTTCCAAGCGCCCCTTGAGCTCCGGCCGCGGTCACTGCCCTGGGCATCCAGTTCCAGCCCACCACCCCCTGGTGAACAGCCTTTCCCCAATCCCAGCCCGACCCTCTCCGAGGCTCCAGGCGCAGGGAGCTTGCCCTCCCGACCCTCGACGAGCCCGGCAAACGCTGCGGAAAGCCGCGGGCTGACTGCTTTTAGCCCGGGCTGGGAGACCGCGATAAGCCGGGAGCGCCGCGCGGCCGAGCCCCGGAGCGGCCGTTAACGCCCGGCGGGGCGGCGCGGGGCACCTGTGGCGCCCCGTGCACTGAAGAGCCCCCGCGGCCCGGCGGCGCAAGGCCCAGTGGCAGTCGGGGCCGGGTCCTCCCCGCCGAGCGCGCGCTCACGCAGGCGCGCCCCCTTCTCGCCCCCCACCGCCGTCGCTGCCGCGCGCGGGGCGCCCCCCGCCGGCGCCCACCTCCGTCGCCGTAGGTCTCGACGCCGTAGCCGTCCTGCAGCCCGTTGCTCCAGGTGCCCTCGTAGCGGGCCGGCGTGCTGAGGCTCTGCCGCACGCCGTAGCGCCCCTTGAAGCCGTGCGACCACTCGCCGCGGTACATCCACCTGCCCTTCGTCTCCACGCCCAGCCCGTGCCGCTTGCCCTGCGCCCAGTAGCCCAGGTAGGTATTGCCGCTGGGCCAGGTGTAGCCGCCCGCCACCTCGAAGCCGTGCGACCAGGAGCCGGCGTACTCGCCCTGCCCCTTGGGCCCGGTGCAGATGCCGTGCCCATGGGCTTTGCCGTCCTCCCAGCCGCCGCAGTAGGTACCGCCATCGTCGAAGTCGAACCGGCCGCCCGTCATCCAGGGCAGCGGGGCGAGCGCGGCGCCGCCGCCGCCTCCCACCCGCCCGCCTGCCTGCCGCCCGGCCCGCCGCTCCCCGCGACTGCGAGCGCTCCGCCGCCGCCCGCCCGCGCCCAGCCCGGCCCAGCCCAGCCGCAGCCCGGCGGCGGCAGCGAGCGCCGCCCGCCCCCCGCTCCTCCCCACCCGCCCCTCCCCGCCCCCGACCGCCGCCGCCGCCCCCGAGAGCGGGCTCGGGAGGCCGCCCCCGTAAGGTGTCCCGCGGGGGGACTTGGGCACTGAGCTCCTGCGGGCGTTGTGAGTAGCTGCAGCCTGTGAGGTAGTGTGCTCACAGGTGGGACCGAAATGTATCGGTCTTTGGGCTCTGACGCTGCTTTTAAGTTGAAGTCGCAGGTGCAGAGCTGTGCTTTGTCCATGTTCTCAGTCACACCCCAATCCCGCTGTCCCGAAGGGGCAAACGGCCGCAGAAACTCAAGCCTGGAGAGCTGCATGAACGCCTTCCCAGCTTGGCGCTGGGAACTCGGTACAGAAGCTCACGTTGTGCCCCAGCTCCCTGACTGCCAGGTGACTGAATGGCGTTAAACGCTGCCAAGTCTTCCTCTGCTAGGTATTTGATAATCAGATAAAAATACAGGGATGAATGACGGGAGAAACAAAAGAGCACAGAACTAGTGGAGAAGGAGCTGAAAGGTGGTGGTGTCCCAGGGCATCTCTTCTGAAGTCTGGGCTTTGTGTACGTTTGCAGCTGTACACCAAGACTGGGAGGAAATCTGAAAGCAAATGTTCCTTTTCAATGGGGATTTTGTAAAAAGCATGAATCATACTTGCAAATCTTCTATGCTGTCTGGACACAGAAGAGTGGGGAAACGGCCAGAATGATGTTAGCAGAAGTTCATAGGAATTACTGGTAAGGATAGAAACTGAACTGCAGGTGAAGAATTTCGATATGTGAATGTTTGAGCATGAACTATCAGAAGCTAGAAGCTAAGCTTCAGAAATTAATGCCAAATTCAGCCCAACTATAAGTAGTTTTGACTAAAACTGAAGGAAAATATAGCACATATTAAACATTCAATTTTAACTGAGTAAATTGTCAAGCTTTGTTCTTCGTACCACGCTGTTCTGTGCACATTTTTGTGCTCATATGGGCAGTACCAAAGAACCTGCTCTTCTTAGCAACATGCTGAACATGTCACTGCACCATGTCCCACATCATCTCCTTTGATCAGAGAAAGTGTGTGCTATGAAGCCCAAAAAGGATTTACTGTTCTGCTGGAAAATGATAGATAGATGTGTTTGTGCACACGTTTGCACACATATGAAGACAATAAGCCAAAATTGAAGAAATATGTCTTGTCCATGGGAATATGGGGATGTTTCAATGCCCCTGTATGCCCTGGGGATTTTGCTCTGTAGCTGTGGAATGTGAAAAACCAGGCAAGAATTTCCTATCTCTGTCACAGACACCAGGAAGTCTTTCCTGCATCTTTAGGCAAGGCTTTATAGTGAGCTGAGGTCTGAGACCTGTACGCAATGGGAGCTTTTGTGGAAAGCTGCTATTAGTACTGGAGCAGAAGCCTGGAAATTCAGGGGTGTTGCTGAAAAAGATCAATTCTTTGTCCTCTGGTTCTTTCCTGAGCTCATCAGGTTTTATGCCCTGCATATCTTGCATTTCTCAGCCAAGGAAAAGATTGAAACAGTAGCCATCCCAAAGGAGCTTACTGCTTTCACTCTGCTTGTATTGATCCCTATTTCCTATTTTCTTTCTTATAACACAAGAGAAAGCCATGTTGTGTTTTAGCCTGGAATCCCAGAAGACCAAGATTGTTTATCGTTGCCTTTCTGTGCATTCTTGGGCCCCCGCACAAGGATAGAGCTGGCACAGAGCAGGAGCAGAAGTGGCATGTTACAAAGAAGATGCTGAAGCATTACACTCACAAGATGTCTATTAGTTATTTTTATTTACTCCCTTGATTTAAATTACACAGAGTTAATATCAGGTGATAGGAACCAGCAAGACTTGATGGGCAGAGGTGAGCAATGGAAATTTTAGGAGGGAATTATATATGTTTTTCTGTTAGTACAAATATATTGGTGGGTCTTTAGGTGACTTACAAATGATGCTAAATGAATAGTAGTTTATATTTCCAGGTGTATTAATTTTAATGAGATTATCTTGGAGTTGATGCTTGGTGACAAGATGTATTTGTTACTAGCAGCCTTCTCTTAACATGTTTTCAGCAGGGGATAGATTTTGAGAGCTTTGAGGACAGAAGTGCTTTGCACTGAACTTTGAGTGTCATGCAGACATCTTGACAATGTAAGAAGAAGCCACAAGTGTCTCATTTCTGAGGTTGTAGGGTATTTTTCTTTTTTTTTTTTTCTTTTTTTCTGAAGTATATTGTGGTGTATAGAGAAAGTTAACCTTGTGTAGTTCCATTGCTAAGTACTCACAGCATTAAGCGATGACATTTCTGTATGCAGAATGCCAGCATCTAAGGACACTGTATATATGCAAAACCTGTGCTGCAGGGTTGTATTTAGAAATGTCCTTGATGCAGGGATGGTAGATGCAACAGGTGAAGATATTAAACTCTAGCAATTTAATATTAACTAGATACAAAACTGCTGAGTTTAAACTATTAGTCTGATAGCTATCTAATGCATGAATAAAAATTAGGCACATTTATTCTTACTCTTAAAAGCCTGATTCAGCAGGGAATTACTTTAAGTACTTTAGTAATCCCATTTGCTTCAGTGGTACTGCACATGAGCTTTAAATTAAACATCTGTAAAATATCTGCTCTCAAATAAAGCAAAGCTCTGAAGAATGTTCTTAAGTGCTTTGCAGAACAGAAGCAGGATGCTGAACTGATGAGCTATACGCGTTATATGGGGTGAGTCCACAACAGGAGGAGAGGCAGAAAGAAGCAGAGGTGGTAGAGAAGCTGCAAGGTAGGAATTCAAAAGGCATCCATATGAGCAACCACAACATTTGTGCTGATTTGTGTGTGTGTGTGTGTGTGTGTGCCTGCAGTCTAAATGCACAATTATAAATATAGTTCTGTATAACTTTAACATAAATTGTTAATTGAAACATACCACTTTTTTCAGCAAACTGTGAAATTGAGTATGTTACTGTGAATAGTGGCATAATAATGCTACAGGATTTTTTTACCCAAAAAGAAGTGAGAAATTGCTGTCCTATTTGGGAAATATTGCATTACAAAGCTACCCCCCTAGCTGCATTGATAAGCTTTGGTTCTAGCTTGCAGCTGCAACCTAGCCACTAATTTAATTCCATAGATGCTACGCTTACTCACTGAATATGAACTTATTATTTTCTTTGCAAAATTAACGATGAAGCTTATAAAACAAAGATACCAAATCCTTTTATAACTTGAAGACAAGATGGCTATGTTTTGTACACAGACATTTATTTTCAGCATTGCTCTGAACAGGGACTGATGTAGATTTGAAATAAAAATGAGGTTTATTTTTAAGAAAGGAAATGCAGCATTTATATTAATCATCTTTGTTTCTCAAGTGATTTTAACAGTAACAGAACACTCCATACAAATAACATACAGTGTATTCCAATATTGCAATGATAATTTTTTTTTTAATGTGTGAATATATTAGGTGATTTTATAAATATGGCATGCAAATATTATCATTACCTCTGAAATTACAGGAAAATAATGAAATATTGGTCCTGGCTCCTGTCAACACGATCTGTCTGTTTGTTTTTAATGTCTACAGAACAGAACTAAGAATGCATTGCTCTAGTTACTCTATACTTAAAACAAAAAATAAAAAAAATAAAAAAATCCTTCAGATCTGTTTGATTTATAATTCTTGATTTGATGAAAAGTGCTATACCCTGAGATACCACCCAGAAAATGAGGCAGCAGGAAAAAATCTACAAAATCAGTTCTGTCACTAGCAATCCACTGCTGGATTCCTGTCTATTGCTTTCTCAGTGATAATAAAAACAGTTAATTGCTTTGCTCTTTGCAGCAAATTCACGAATGTTTGAAGGCTGCTCGTCACATCTTGCTTGAGTAATTTTCTTCAAAGTAGTCTGTAGCTTTTGTTTCTTTCCTCCTAGAATGTCACTGTTACTATTCTCTGGACTTTCTCCAGTTCTGTATTTTTAATAATAAAAGTTATTAAAGTATTGAATGTTAAAGGATTTGGCTCAGATTTAGTATTTGATACATCCCTCAGGCCTCAATAATTAATAACTATTACTTAGTGACTGTAAACAACATGTACTCTCCTGCCGCAGTTTTATTCAGATCATCTTTAATGAATGTCAGGAGCTTTGCCTAGGTTGAAATAGATAGCATCCCTTATAATGGAGGCTGAAGTGAAAACACTTTTAGCACTTCAGTTTATCTCTGTGTCACATCAGAAAGCTTTCCTCTCTCAGGACAGCTTTGTCCCTCAGACTCTTCCTCCTCTTCATCTCCTCCTCCTCCTCCTCTTCCCTGATTGGCTTCCGCCTGCCCCTTACCAGCCTTACCTCATTCTGCAAGTTGGCCTTTCTGATTTTGTCTCTGCGTACTTGCACTGTTCTCTAATATTCTTCCTTTAGTAATTTGACCTACTTTCTACTTGCGTATACTTCCTTCTAGTGTTTCAGGATCATTGAAGATCTCTCAATTTAGTCAAGTTTGTCTTGTGATACTGTTTTTCCCTTCACATTGGGATGAACTGTGTGTGTTTACGCCCTTCATATTATTTCTTTATGAAAATAGATCACCCTTTCTGGAATTTATAATCAAATAAAATCCAGTAGAGAGGAAATCTAAGTTTGTGATTTTAACACAACGGTCTTGGCTGATGCTGGCTTGGTATATTTTCATGCCCCCAAGCCCTCCAGCTTGCGCATGCCAGCACAACTGTTTCTTCAGTGAGCTATGATGTGGATCAGGGAACCAATCCAGCTTAAAAATAATCCAGCAAAAAGATTTATTTTTATTTCATTCTTAAAGCTGAATCACTTTATTATACTGTTTGCAGATCATCTATACAAACAATCGCCATAACGCATCTGAA